GGGAGCTGAGGGGGGCCGGCCCCTGAAGGCCCCCGGGCCAGGTGTCCGCCCTCCAACCCGCTGTCACTGGGTCTTTCCTCGGGGAAATCCACCGTCTTTGTGCTTGGTCGCGGCTGGAGGCAACTTTTTGCCTCATTCTGCACCTTGTAGCGTTGTGTAAATCGCCATCCAAAGCAACAATGCCCTGTACTTCTATCAGTGCCTTTGCTGGCTTGTGCTTAACTGTAATATTTGTATTTTCAGACCCTTATCTGCATAAACCCACCACTTTTTGAGGTCTATCAGACGCTGTTAAGCCCCACACAGCATCATGTGGCGCTCATCGGTACGAAGGGGCTTATGGTGCTGGAGCTGCCTAAACGCTGGGGGAAGAATTCCGAGTTTGAAGGTGGGAAATCCACGGTGAACTGTAGGTGGGTGAGACCTCAGGTGATGAGCGACATCCTTGTCTTGCTGTTGTTTCTTTTCAGCCTCTCCTGTCTTGGGACCAGATATGGAGACATTAGTTGTATCGGGGGTGTGGGGACAGTCACAAAAGAAATTATTTTGGCTCAGGGACTTGGTGATTGTCAAGTGACCCAAATAAAGAACCTTCTAAACTTGTTGCAATTGCTGAGGAACAAGGTGCTCCTCTGTAGCATTCCTGGGGTGTTTGAGCTGTGGTAGCTAAAAACACACGTCCAGATGGAACTAACAAAGGGCTTCAAGTTAAAGCTGTCCCTCCAGCTTTAAGAATAATACAGCCAATGGCTTTGAAACCTTTTAATCAGGTTTCTAGCTCCTCTTGCCACCCCTTTCCCTTTAGAAGTAACTTCTGTGTGTTGTGTAACAGTGTGGATTTTGCTCTGTATTTCAGCACTGTTCCTATTGCAGAAAGGTTCTTCACCAGCTCAACCTCGCTGACTTTAAAGCATGCTGCCTGGTACCCCTGTGCAACGTTAGAGCCCCATATTGTGCTCTTGACTTCAGATAACACTGTAAGGTAAAGCTTGTTTGTACTTGATAATCTAAGTATTTTTTGTTTGTCATAGCCAGGCTGATTTTCACTAGTTATTTGTTTCCTGCCATTCTTACCGGGGCTACTAATAAAAAATAGAATGGGAGAAATTTTAGACTGATAGCAGCTGACATTCCTGCATCAACAGGGACGTGTGCCACCCTGCCAGCTGAATGAATGTTCCTGCTGTTTCTTTGCTCTAGGTTTTACAGTCTGAAGGTGCCTCAGACACCCATCAAAGTGATTGCGCTTTCAGACACTGAGGAGGAGACGCTAACAATCAAAAAAGGGTATGTAGCTTCTTGGATTTTGAAATCCTTTGGCCAGAATAAACTCTGCACTCTTAGTTGTGTTTTTAATCAATAAGTGATAAATTTACCTGACAATCTGATGTGACTTTTTTTCATGGACTTCTTCAGTGCTGGGACTTCTTCCTAGCACAGTAACTGCACTTTTTTCCAACCCCCTCTCTTTTTTTTTCTATCATTCTAAAAGAAAGTGGTAACAAACTGTACAGTCAAGTGTTTGGCAGAGTAGTCATTTGAAAAATACACGTCTTTAAGATGGGGTTAAGAAGGGCTTTTTGAGTGAGGAATGCAGGAAAAAATAGATCATCTTTTTATTTCCCGCTTGGCCTAGCTGAAAGGAAAAACTTGAGGGTCTCTACTAGTGAGGTGACAGCCTGACATACTATATAGGAAATACCAGTACACCCTCCTCTTCTGTCCCATGAAACTGGGCTGGCTGGTGGGTGAACAGCAGAAACGAGCTGCCATGGGAAGGCACGTTTTAGTTGTTGAAAATAGTGTATGTCAGAGGAGCGCCGGACGGGTGTTTAGCAGTGAGGTGTCAGCAGGTACCGATGGACCTAGTGAAACGCTGGTGCTCTCACAGCCCCCGCTGACCTCGGGTCTCGTGTCCCCAGGAGAACCTACACCGCATCGCTGGGAGAGACCGCCGTGGCGTTCGACTTCGGCCCACTAGTGCCGGTCCCAAAGAACATCCTTGGACAGCGAGGGAGCGAAGAAGTGCTGGCCTATCCACTTTACATTTTATATGAGAATGGAGAGACGTTCCTCACCTATATCAGCCTGCTGCAGAGGTGGGCTGCCCCTCATCCCCCGCTTTCACGGGGCGCTTGGGTGTTTGCACTGTGTTAGGGCTGCAGAGCATCTCTCGGTTTGGCTGGGAGTCTGTCACGGAGGCTGGGCTGCGGGTCGTTGTGCTGCAGCCTGGTTAATCTTCTTGTGGCACTGCTAACAGACTGGAATCCAAGAACACTGTGTCATCCCTTTGCCTCTGACATTAAGGGTGCACTGCTGAGAATCCAGTCCTTTGTTTACAGTCAGAAATTTGAAGCCACTGGACGGTTACAAGATCTTTGGGTGTAGGGCTGTTTGTTAGGTGCATTTTGGGGCTGCAGCTCACAGTGTGTTCTCAGCTTTGGGGGAGGCTGAAAGAGCCAGTGCCAACTTAGGAAAAAAAATACTAAGATCAGAGAGGGTTCATGGGCACGTTCTGTAATGAAAGGTCAAGAATATGAATGTGGTACAAGAAAAAATCACTTCAGAAAACTGAGAAGATGGTGGAAAACTTGTAAGTTAGATCTACTGTAACTAAATAGTAAAATACGTGGTGTTTGGGTTAGAAACAGCACTGTTAGCCTCTGCCTGAGAAATCCTGTCTGTAGGCAATGACTTATGCTTAGACCTTCAAAAGTTCTACCTGGAGAAATGCCGGGACACCAAGTGCTGCTTGTAAAGGGCTTTATTAAGAAAGAAAATAATTAAATGATAAAGATAATGAACTTGAGCTTTCCATGAGTACTTTGTGTTCTTGTATGAAAATGTTTCCGCTTGAATTTGTTGAAATGTAGCTTGGATGCTTTCAAAGCCTAAAATGTTATTACCAAGCTCCAGTTTCTTCTCTGAGATCTCCACAAGTAGGTGTAGTGCCGGCTCTTCATCTGCATGAGTCTGGGTTGCTACTATCTTAACAGAAATTAATCAGAACTCCAAACCATTGCTTTTGGGTTTTTTGAAATCATTTTGTAGTTATTGTCCAACAAAGTTCCGCAGGCAGCCGTGGGGAGCTCACCTTGTGTTGTGAACACATCTTCTTTATTCCAGCACTGGAAGTCTTGGCAAGCTGCTGGGCCCTCTGCCCATGCACCCTGCTGCAGAGGATAACTATGGCTACGATGCCTGTGCTGTGCTTTGCCTCCCTTGCGTTCCAAACATCCTGGTGATTGCCACTGAATCGGGAATGCTTTATCACTGCGTGGTGCTGGATGGAGAAGAGGATGATGAACAGGTACTTTGTCTTGTTTTGGGGTTTGTTTTTTTTTCCTATACACATTTTTGTTTCTTTAGTCAAAGTTCCTGGCTGCAAGATGCCTGGAAGTGAATGCCAAGTGCCAAAGCTGTATTCTTTTATAACGAGGTAGCGAGTCTTCCTCATTGTCGAGCCAGTCTCTGTGATTCTCTGGTGATTTTATTTTAAATGTCAGTTCTGTGTATCCTGCTGGTAGATCAGTTTTGGATCAAACTTTACTATCAACTATTTTAAAGAGGATCTTCTAAGAAAAAAAACAAATCTGTTTCTGGGAGAAATTTTTTAAGTGAAAAAAAAATAAAGGGGCTTGAACTACTTTTCCTGACAATTAATACTCTTGCCTATATTATGTAACTCTTCCTTGTTGCTGTTTATGTTGGCATTTTTAATTAAGTTATGTCTCACAGAAGAATTTAATGCTTTTTACAGTCCGAAAAGTCATGGGACCCAAGATCTGATTTCATTCCTTCCCTGTATGTGTTTGAATGTGTTGAGCTGGAACTTGCACTGAAACTGGCATCAGGAGATGAAGAGGAGCCTTTGGAGTCTGATTTCTCGTGCCCAATCAAACTGCATCGAGGTAGGGTTGTTGTTCAGGTTGTTGGCTCTTACTGGGTTTATTTCATTAATTTAGGATTGAGCTTTTTACAGGTTATCATTGGTGTCAGAGCAGTATTAGAATAACCATTTGCCCGATGTCTTCAATAAAGCTGTGGAAAGAGGAAGCCTGGGAGGTGCTTTAGTGTTCACTCAAGGGCAGATTACTTATGTTCACATAATAATAAATTCTTTCAGCTGTGGATTTTAAAATCCGTGATCCTGAAGGAAGAATTGGTATCTGCTTATTAGACTATCCAGTGAGATTGTGGGGCAGCAGGTTGGGTAGGACAAAGTGTTTGGGTCTTTCTGAACACGAAGCTTGTCAGAATGCTCGTCTGCTGGCTTCAAAACTGATCTTCCCTTTAAAATCTAGTGGATTGATAGAGGTGTGGTGTGATAGGAATAGTTCAGAACAATTCATGAGGTATTTCAAGAGTAATTTATTTATATGTAGAGCTCTAATAATGCATCTAGTTCAGTTTTTTTACTAGGAACTAGTTAATATTTGAAAAAGATGCTAATGCTGTCTGGACACTAGTTCAACATACACATGTTCACCAGTGCAGGTTTGAAGGATGATTTTTTTTCCTTTGTTCAGTACCTTCTACATTTGCTGTTTAAATTCCAGATCCGAAATGTCTGTCTCGATACCACTGCACACACGATGCTGGTGTCCATAGCGTGGGGTTGACATGGATCAATAAACTGCACAAATTCCTTGGTTCGGGTGAGTGGAGAGACTTTTGCACGTGGAGGGGAGACATTAACTCTCTGAACACCTGCATTTTCCTCGTACCAAAGTGGTGGATGTGAGTAATACCGAGAATCCCTCACCCTGCAGCGTGGATCTCACGTGTTGTGACAACTCTCTTTGTAGATGAAGAAGACAAGGACAGTTTACAAGAGCTGGGAGCAGAACAGAAGTGCTTTGTTGAACATATTCTTTGTACAAAACCATTGCCATGCAGGTAAACTCCAAACTCTTTCTATTGCTTCCAAATCAAGGAGTTGCTACAGGAAGTGTTTATGATTTGCCCTCTTGTGCTGCATTCTTGCTATTAAAAACACTGAACTCTGCTTAAAGAGAATTCCAGTAGTACAAATCAGCAACGGGTGTGTGAGGATTCTTAACGCAGTTAGGGAAGTAGCTCAGTTCCTGGGTTACTGTCTGAAAATCATCTAGCAAAGCAGCAGACATTTTCACTTCCATGTACCTGGCCCAAGATGACTCTAAGGCTTGATTTGGCCAAGAGTCTTCAATGCTGCCATGTGCTTTTCATCCACTGGGTAAGGATCAAACCATGCCCCAAAAGAACATCTGACTTTTTTGAGCTTAGTCAGGCTTAATGGAGCATCTCCCTTGTGAGGAAAGGCTGAGGGAGCTGGGGCTCTTTAGCTTGGAGAAGAGGAGACTGAGGGGTGACCTAATTAATGTTTATAAATATGTTAAGGGCGAATGTCATGAGGATGGAGCCAGGCTCTTCTCAGTGATGCCCAATGGTAGGACAAGGGGCAATGGGTGTGAGCTGGAACACAGGAGGTTCTGCTTAAACTTGAGAAGGAACTTCTTTACAGTGAGGGTGACAGAGCCCTGGGACAGGCTGCCCAGGGAGGTTGTGGAGTCTCCTTCTCTGGAGACATTCAAGACCTGCCTGGACGCCTTCCTGTGTGATGTCATTTAGGTTCCTGCTCTGGCAGGGGGATTGGACTGGATGACCTTTTGAGGTCCCTTCCAATCCCCAACCTTCTGTGAGTCTGTGATTTGCTGGGCTCTGTAATACATCTTTATCTGCTTTTATTGTCTCACTTTTGTAAGTTATGATCAATAACTGTAGACCATGTATTAAACACTATCAAAATACAGGAAAAAATGTTTGTTTATTAGTGAGTAAGTAATCTCATCTAAGGCAGTACAGGGGGTGAATCTGCAGTGGTGTCAGCAGGTCCCCAGGGAGAGGGCATTTGGAGGAAAAAGGCAGGTACACGGCACACCCATATCCTCTCCTGAGGACGTCTGTGCCTTGCACGAGCCGTGGGCAGCGCTTCCTGCCTCACAGCAGGGTTTTGCATCCGTCCCAGAGCTGTACCAGTGCTCCCTCTCTCCAGGTGGCTGCATTTGTCCTGGTCCATCCAGCTGCCAGGATGGGAGGGATTATTTTGCAGGACTCGTTGCAGCGAGTGGTTCTTGGCTTAGAGAGAGGTGTCTGGCTTGGGCTGATTGCTACCGTGCGAGCTTTACTGAAGGATTAAACTTGCACAGCAGCTTCAGGAACAAGGAATGTTTTTTTGACTGGGTTATGCTTCTGTTTTCTTCCCTTCAGTCAACCTGCTCCCATCAGAGGATTTTGGATTGTTTCTGACATCCTGGGCCCCACAATGATCTGCATCACAAACACCTACGAGTGCATCACACGGCCTCTCTTGTACGTGGCTCTTAATTGGTTTGAAATCCCCAACTGTTGCATGAGAAGAATCTTAGGCTGTATTATTATTATTATTATTATTATTAT